GCAAAAACAAGGTCGGATGATCGATTAGGGATTGACGTGTAAAGCCTACTTTTGAGTTTAGGTATAAGTTATACTTTTGGGTTGTTCATAGTATGTATATTCCGGGTAGACATGTCCCCGATGATTATGTTTTTTTTTTTGTTAGCTATGTATTTATTAAGTCTTAAAATTATGTATTTTGSRTTGTAAATCGYTATCYCGTATCTTGAGGTTTTTGAAACTAAAATTTATTTAATGAAGGTTGGAAGTGTTTGTTTTGTAATTGCGGTGTTACAAAAGCACAAAAGGATTTATCTTTATTGTAATATTACTATTCTAAATAGAAACATATATTCGTGAATTCAGATCATATGTCCCAATTGAAACATTTAACTGCATGCAAACAGAACTTGCAACAAAGTGAACCTGTAAGCACAAATGTGGGAGGCAGTAGTGTGGTTATGATAAATGTTGAGGGAACGACATATTAACCAAATCAGAGTTTCAAGGAGAATCTGCTTAATTTCTGATTCAATGAGATATATCAATGTTGGATTGTGCATTTCAAGAAGTTAAGTGGAGATCTGGAGGCTGTCGTGACTGAACCAATTATTAGGATCCTGAAAAGTCCAAACAAATTTCCATCTGGTCATACATGAATAGAAGGTTCCTTCGAGTGCAGGCTATTCTTCTTAATATTCAATCTTTGGTTATAATTCTATTGTTACTTTATTCGTGTAAGCATGATGCTGAGAGTGTTTCTGCATATTTAAAAGACAGAACACGAGAAGTAGCTGAATGATTACTTCATTAAACAGGCATCTTATACTCCTGAAGTGCGTAATATAATATCTACTTAAGAAGTTTCAAGTTACTCATTATTGCATGAAAACTTACTGCTAAAGATAAGGCTTCAGCTGCCTTGTCAACCTCTTCATAAGCTTCTCTAAGATGGATCCTCTTAACACGGCCCTTCCATGAAGACTCCACCTCCTCAAAAAATTCACTTGGTATGTTCACATAGGAACTCATTTTCTGATCACTTTCACCATCTAAAGAGATAAGTTCACCAATTCTAGAAGAGACACTTTCACATTCATCCAACTGAAAATAAGCAACGAAGCACAGCTAAGTCTTGTGGTATGCAAGGATGTCTATTTCAAATGATCACAGAAACATATATAAGAGCCAATGTTGTCATAGCTCGATTAGAAGGTTCCATCACTTGTTTAATAAACAGATCTAGACAGTTCGTTCTAAAATTTAGTCCTCAAATATATATATATATATATATATATATATATATATAGAGGAGCGATCAAATGAAAACCGTCTTCATTTGTGTAATCCATATAAACCAATCTCCTCCATCCATTTTCTTGATCAATGGTCAAGATAAGTTAGTTTATATTAGGAAGTTAAAAAATAAAAATAAAAATAAATTATTTTTTTAATTGGAAAAAGGGCAAAATTGTAAAACCGTCTATATCAATAAATCGGGTAGATTCATCAGTTTCCTTAATCAACCCCTTTTTGAATAAGGAAACAATATTTTTAACTATTACATTTAATGAATGAAATGATTTCACTGTATTTTTTACGATATGTCTTTCTAGAGGAGCCATATGTCATTTTCATTTTCTCAGAAGATGGATCCATTTCAATCTTATTATGAAATGGTTTCACTGTTTGCCTATTAAACACCATGTTCTTAACGTTAACATCTCAACCGTTTACAATAACCATCCCATGAACCTGTTTCACAACTTATAACAACTAAAAATACTGCATCCACCATACCATACAAATCAATAACCATTAAGTGAACCAGATAACCCGGGAAAAAAAAACGAAACGATTTCATCAACAATTGTTGATAATGAAACAATATTATCCAAGAATATATTTCGTATCCTAGTATATTATGCAACGATTTAAACCATAGATGAAACGATTTCATCAACGTTTCATCAACGATTTAAATGGTTTCACAGTTTCATCAATACACAAATCAATGTAATGCTAGATGAGACATTTGTCATTTTCATGTTATCGGTAGATGGATCCGTTTCAATCTAATTATGAAATAGTTTCACTGTTCCCTAATTACACAACATGTTCTTGACAATTATGAAATGGTTTCATTGTTCGCTAATTACACAACATGTTCTTAACAATCTAACTATGAAATGGTTTCACTGTTCGCTAATTACACAACATGTTCTTAACAATTATGAAATGGTTTCACTGTTCGCTAATTACACAACATGTTCTTAACAATCTAACTATGAAATGGTTTCACTGTTCGCTAATTACACAACATGTTCTTAACAATTATGAAATGGTTTCACTGTTCACTAATTACACAACATGTTCTTAACAATTATGAAATGGTTTCACTTTTCGCTAATTACCCAACATGAATCTGTTTCACAGCTGATTATATTTTTACCGGTTCATGAATCTTTGTTTGGATCTGTTACTGATTTCGTGGATTAATGAATATAATAATGTTTGATTTTCATATTATTACCACTAATATACCGAAAAACCAAATAACAATATTCAATTTTTAAAATTCTAATTTAAATAAACATTTAAATATTTACCATTTATAAAAATTCCTTTATTATGTTACGTTAATTAAGATTTATTAATAACTTCCATATTTAATAGAAAACAATGTAAATGACAAATCTACCCTTAATGATTAAATTTAATTAAGAAAAAAAAGGAATTTTCCTATTGGTCGAAATTAGTTTACATGTTTTCTAAGAATTAGACGGTTTTCCTTTGATCTCGCCTCTCTCTCTCTCTCTCTCTCTCTCTATATATATATATATATATATATATATCCGGTGAGAAGGAGAGTTAATCTGAGAAACGTAAGGGATCTCCACCCTTGCATGCACATTAGGATGAGATCCACCGAATCAATCCCCGTATCAAGTGCGATACATAGGTTGGTTTGAGATTAAAGGTGGTCAAAGGTCCAGATCCCTCTTTTTATGCTTCTCAGCTTAACTCTCCTTCTCTCACGATCCTTCGCCTATATATATATATATATATATATATATATCAATTAAAGGAATTCCAGCACTTACTAGCATCTCAAAGTCGATTTTCAAGCCTGTTGCTACCCAAGTAGGATCCATTAATAATCTCAGTATCCTTTTGAGCTCAGAGTTCCTATACAGCTGCAAAATCTCATCAAGCACTCTTTTGATCTTGCAAAACTCAACATGATTTGCTTCCCTTAGCTCAAGTAACTTTACAAGCTGCAAGATTAGGGGGAAAATACATCAGGCATGAATAAGAGATGTAAACCTACAGGAACATGACAGGCAAAGAATAGATAAAGATTTACAAGTGAGTTATATTTTCATACATTCAACCAAATTGTAAATGGGAAATGAATTTCAGTACCTTCGATGGTGAGATGCAAGTAAACTCAGGAATTGTGCATGACACATTGCTCATAAGTTTGCATATGTCTGCAAATTGAGAAAGAAAAGAAAAATAGTCTTCTATAAAATTTAGGCAAATATCATTAATAAGTATGCTAAGGACCAATGAGAACTAATGAACATGAAAACAAAAGAGCATGTCTACAGCTCTAATAATCAGAAAAAGTAAAATACATTTTTATCAACAGTTTCAAAACACTATGAACATTGTTTGCAAAATTTAAACATATATTAAGACAAGCACTGTTAGAAGAGTTTGATCTCAGCTAATAGAAACTCAAACTAGAGAAAAATTCAAACAAAAGTCTCCTTGTTCCATTCCCCTTCAGGGTTAACAGGGAAATTAAAATTTGTTTTGGCTTGGCAAAATTAAGCGACCGAAGTCATATGAGCAACTCATCTTGGAGCAAGGAAGAGTAACCAATCTATCTTATAAGAATTAGGATCCGAAATTATTTGCATCACTTCCAATTGAGAACCCACCTTGAATGGTAGTTGCAATTGCATGAGCAGGAGGATTCAGAAGAATATCTCTAACATACCTGTAAATATAACAGAAAGAAGAATGATAATGAAAGAAAGATGAGAGTAATGCCCAGATACTAGGGAAAAGTTTCTATCATCATGTATAGGACAACAAAGATTGATTCCGCCAATTGACATTCTCATTCGTTAGAAAGTGGCAACAGAAGAAGACAAAGACATCCTGTCATCCAGCAAGATCAAGCCAGTTTCAGACTAAAAGATGCACATAGCTTAACAGCATTTTGACCGCATATCTGTGGGGATTAAGAGGATTGGCTTTAGCATTAATTAGTTCTATCTATGAATTCTTAAATAGCCTGACCCAAGCCACCAAATGCTACAACTGTGTCAACCAGCATTCTATCTATCTGTTCCCAACAAAAACGAGACCAAAAGATTTCGTTAGATTTCCATCTGGAGCAGAGGAGCAGGTCTAGTGAGTGTAAATGCCTAAAAGATGCACAATAGAAATTACTTTTTAATTAAATGACTCATTAAAAATTATGGGACATAAGAAGAATTTCTATATTGTTTTGTTGATCGCAAGATGAGATAGGATAGGGTGCCATAACGTGGTGGTCTCTTCAGACACCGAACCTAGGATGAATGTCAATGTGATGAAAAGATCATACAACAGCTGAAAGCTTGTCGTCAGGAAGATGCTTTCCCCTGTGATGAAAAGATGCTATAGGGTTACACTAAGGGTCTGACTAAGTCGTCGTCCTTTTCCTTCAGTTATGCACAGGTCACAAAGAACATACAAGATAATTCAGCATAGGGTATGGTTTTAGATGTTAGCGTATTGATCGATGAAGCCAGGCAATGTGTTGGTACAAAGTTGAAGGTTATAGAAGAACACCTACAAATCTGAAGATTTCAAATTAAGGCGCACAGACATAACATACGAAGTGCATAATTAGCAGTCTTGATAGCGGACTAAAGATGCCGTAAACATGTTTAGAAAGAATATATTTCGTTATTTGGATCAACATTACAGAAGAATGGAGGATTTTAGTCATAAGAAAGAGTGGGGAGGATGAATAAGAACAAGTTGAAAGTCTTGTGGGAGAAAGCCCCAGTTAAGTTGGAAGTTATGAATTACACAACAACGAATCAGTTGTGTCATAAAGTGTTGGAAATATGCCTATAGACACAACAAAATAGTGATACTATTAATTGCATGGGCCTATTGGGTCGCACACAAAGTTCAATCCAAAAGCAAGAAATAGTATTAGAGGGTTTAACTAAAAGTATTAATTAATTACTAGAAAAACTGATTGGTCGTTAGTCTAAACTTATTACGGTTTAGTTGAGATTGGGCCTTATTTAAAGGATGCTAATCCCTAAACCAAACTCTAATCTCCATATCACACACATAATAGGATTAAAGTGTGGTGCTTTTGGTGATTACACAAGAAGAAAAGGTGATTTCCTGTTGCTTACAAGTGATTAGAGCTTTGGGTGTGCACGTGATAGAGAGACTCCTACTATTGGATTCTTCACCATCAACCAAAGGTTTTTCTTATCCTTTTCTGTGCTTGTTTTGGTTACTTGTATTTGATTGTAACCAGATCTCTGGAAGATTGTGTGTTTCTGATATGAACCAGTCACAGGCAGCCCAACAGCAGCCAGCCCAACTTCCATCCAGGCCCAAGCGAATTCCCAAGAAGCCCAGCAGATTACTTGACTGAAGATATCACCAACGGTTGCTGAACAATTCTCCCACCTTTCCTGGTTTCCCTCATGCATGCACGTAGAAGTAGGAAGCATTAATTAAGTGGTTTAACCACATTTCCATGTTCTGCATTAGAATAGGCTGCCATTTCTATTTCCTTTACTATTTAAAGCATTGTAAGTTGTTTGAAGAGA